ACCTCAATTAAGTGTTGCCAGGCGACATTGTTCATTGAGAGGAGATTGTTATATTCGCTAATACACGGATGAGGTCTGTGTATGACTTGGTTTTTAACTTATTGATTCCTGCTTAAAAATATCTTCGATAATAAGGAGTAGTTTAATAATTCAATTGTCGATAAAAGTTCTCTTTGACTCCGCTCGAATTGCTAGCACAATTATTGAGGAACAATTGCACAATTATATTTGTCTTCTTCAATTTTATTTTCAATACAAAAGTAAAAAAAAAAAAAACAAGTCATGTGGAGGCAGGTGAACTCCAGAGTAATAAATATTATATTAAACAAATGTTATTATTATGTAATATTAAAATTGAAGCAATAGTCATTATCGTAGCCTTAGGACGTTTTGCAATTTATACGAAAAGCATTTCTTGCAATTTAAGGTAATTTGCAAAAGTTACTTACAATTAAAACAATGTAGGAAAAGTATTTGATTTGTTTGCATATTTGTGCATGATCTCGAGCCCCTTTGTATGTATAGAAATGTATGTATTATTAGCGGATTTTGTGAGGTATCTGGATCGTATTGGCACAGTGTTGCTTTGAGCTAAGTAAGTAAGTGGTGGATTTTATATTACTTTCTTTGGCGAATAAGTTTTGAAAGTATTCCCAAAAGAACACTCTACCTACAGTGGATTACAATATGGAGTATCTACTATGGCGTGACCAGCATCCAAAAATTTAAATTTTCTAATTGTGGTCGCCCCTCGGCAGGGAATGTCAACACTACCGAGTGTATTTCTGACCTGATGACTTGCAGCTTCGTGATCCAATAGGTACTCCAATGGACCGTATATACCACAATTTTTTGTAGGGTTATTTATTTGAGTTGGTTTTTGTTTTCATATACTTTTGCTGCTTATGCTTATTTAAAATTTCACACTGAAGCTAAAGAGAGCAAAAGAAATGATCGTATAAGAGAAATGATTCTGATTGTGCACTGCACCCTTTCTTACGACTTGCATGCCATGGAAGAAGGCGTAAATATGTATATACAGAAGTGAATATCTGCTGAGTTGCCTGAGTTGTTCTTATTCTCCATACTTACATATATTTGTTGTTCTACAACTTTTTTATTCACATTGCTTAGCTCTTCGATAGTTGAGCTGCATCACCCGATCGTTATGTGTATTTCATTGTAATATTTTGAGTAGTCATTATTAATTTTTAGTAATTATTAGTACAATTATGCTATATAATTTTACTAATTAAACATTATTTAAGCTACTAAGTCTGTATGTGGTATGTTGATTTTTGACGGTAGCAAATAACCACTAAGTTGGCTTTATTTGCTTATTACCTTCTGAGTATCATTTGACTATAGCAATCTCAACCTTTAAAAAGCTATAAAAAATGATTATATCTATTTTATTAATTAATTAATTTTATTTATTTATGTGCGTTTCTCCAACTTCATCATTAGGACGTTTCTTTATGTTTTGTTGTAATGTCTTTTATTTACAATTGTGCTCTATTTTCAAAATTAAATAAATATTTGTTATTAGCGGCAAAATCTTTACGGTCCGAATTCTCTTGGCGAATGCTTCAGAACTCAGCTGCCTTACACGCGTTCAGTGGTTGATATTCACTATCATTTTTTTGTGGTCTTGCTAAAATGCGGCATGGTCTTCGCCGAATCGATGTTGGAGTACTAAAAATATCTTACTTAAAAATAACGAAAAACACAAACGCAAATATTCACGTTTTAAAATAATTTCTGTCGCTGTGGAATGGTGATTTATCACCCAAAGCAGCAAATGCGATCAAACGAAGATGAAAAAAATATAAAGGAAACAAAACTTAAAAGTAATAGGAATATATATAACCTATGTACACAAAACGATTGGGTATAAAAATAACAAACATTTGATTAGAGCAAATATTTTACCATTAAACACATTATTATCTTATCGAAAACAGTTTCTCCGTTGCTATTATTTTTTTCTTTGACGGCTTTAACATGTTTGGGAATTTTGTACTTTGTCTTTAAAGAGTTTATTTAATTATTCTCAATCATAGTTCTTTATACATATATGTAGCTTTTGTACATTCTTAAGTATATACGTATGTACGCATGTGCATACATTTGTTAGCACTAAGAGTGTCCATAGTATCGCAATAAATATCTGAGGCAGCCCATGCAAGGTACATGCCGGCTAACGGCTGATGGGGTCGTGCTAATTCTTATTGAAACCTTGTCATTATTCCATGATTTGGTATCAGTGTTTTTTTCCATTAAGGCTGATAAGTAGCAAGCTGCAAGTTATCGCAATAAACTCAAGTCGGCAATGGAAACCCGAAGTGCGATTCACATTTGCTTAGATTGCGTATCAGTTTGAACTCTTAAAAACTGCAAATATTTGACTATCAGCTAGCTACACGAGAGTCCATTTGAGAGCATGTCTTATACGAATAGTTTTTTGAGTTTGTTATCATTCCTATAAATGTGTTTTAATTGCGCACTCGTCCGTCATTTAAAGCATACAGGAGCGTGACCAGTTTATGGCGCCAGCTTATCACGTTTGAGATGAACTTGAAAACATCGTTAAAAACGTGTAAAAATAAATGTTAAATAACTAATACTGCAACTTTAATTTAATACAATTTCATATTTTACTGAAATCTGTACGTGTAAACATTTCGTTTTTCATAAAACTAATTCTCACATTCTAAAATACAATACTTTATATGTATAATGCATACATGCATACATACATATCTATCAGACACACCCACTTCCATTACACTATGTTATCAGTTTTCTTATGATGTTCTACTCAAGATTTGATTATTCAATTCCAGGCCATCTTATTGACATTTCGACATTTCAATTATGGAAACATTCGATTTGCAATCTCTATTCATTATACGGGGTTTTGAAGGCTATCTGCACGCGGAATTTGCATGCTTTAACCGAATTAAACTTTGGTGTTAGAATTAAATTTTGTTGCATAATTATTGGCATAATAAGATTTATGTTTTCAATAATGAACCAGTGTGCGAGTATTCGAGCAGAATCTTGAGCCCTAATACAAACCGAAGTTCGTTGAATGAAAATATTTTTTTGTTGCCGCCTTGTTCTCCTTATAAGTTATTGCCTCCTTTCAACTTTTGTACTATATTAGATCTGTAAGAAGGCTGGAATATCAATATTGAAGCGAGAGAAATACTTAATTAAGAATTTTAAAATCAGAACTTTGAACTTACTCCAGAGATGGCTACCAGCAACTATTTCAAGGGAATTCCTCATATTAGATTTCTAAGGTTTTTATAGACGGAAAGGGCGAATCTGCTTAACAACATGTCTAGGGTTTAAATCCTGGTATGACCAACATCCAAAAATTATAGAAGTTAATTTAAAAAAGAAAAAATTAAGAAGTAAGTTAAATTTTCTAATTGCGTCGCCCCTCTGCAGGGAATGTCAACCCCTCCGAGTGTATTTCTGGCATGAATAAAGGCGTTTGATTAATTTACGTCATTTTCTCCGAAGTATGCTCCGAACTATTTTAATTGGTCTCCAGGAGCTTTCTCCTGGAGATTTATCCATATTTTCATGTTCATGGGTTCTTTCTTTCTGGCGTTAAGACATAACAGTTCGCTCGGATAATACAACCCGCCTATATACACATCTCTTTTACTCTTGTATTGCCTGCAAAATGTGCCGAACAAAGCAAAAATACGTGGTTTGTACCAAAAATATCGCAAAGAAGTGTTTATATATTCATATCGATTTTGTCTCTTTCAAAGTAGTCGCCCCAGCTTTAATGCACTTATACCATCGTTCTTTCCAATCCTTAAATCAGGGGCAAAAGCTCTACAGAGCAAAAATTTTTCTACAAAATCCGGAGCGCTTCGCTCAAATCGCGCATAACTTGCAGGCAGTATTCTTCATTGACCGTACAACTTGTGGCAAGAACTTATGATGAACGACGGCCCAGCAACAAAACTATGTGTGTCGCGTAAGCTTTTGTTCAGACCTCGTATTGGGATTATTTTCGAGATAAACGTAGCCGTTAATTCAAATTTTTTTAAAAGTTATGAAGTATTACAATGCAAAATGGTTGCAATCGAATAAGCGGTTTCAAGACTTGTATTTCGTGAAATTGACGGGTCCAGTTGATCGAATGTTAAAATTATCTATTCACATTGCCAACAGGTAGCCGTTGCAAACTACGGGCATAACATTTAGCAATGTTTTCCTCTCGCAGTCGAATGGTACGGAAGGGAGGCGTTCTGGTATAGTTTTATAGTTAAGAGAAGAACGGTTGGCTTCTCCTATGATGAGTCTCAAAAGTGTGTAATGCAGGTGTTTTTGAGTGCATTTTGTGTGTAGGCAATCTCTCCACTCTCCAAATTCACTAAAGAGCAAATCACGCTGACGTGTGAGTGTATTTTCGCAATCCAACAATGACAATTGAACAATCGCTGTTTTGCGGCAAGTCTCATTGTTTTTATTATATTTTTTCAAAATAGCTTCTATAACTGAGTTTGTTGTATTTTGTGTATTTTACTAATTGCAATTACACGATCTCGCACCATACTATTTATTTTCCTCTCTACTTTCTGCTGCCATATGGGAGTATTTAATTTTGCGAAAATCACGTGATTCGTATGAAAATATACACATACGTCTAATGCTGTATACAAACACATATTCACACATGTTGCCAATGACGCAATCATTAACAGCAGATGTTGATGAAAATAAATAATGTAAGAAAACACAAAATAAGTACGTAACTTGCAATATAATAAAATATAATGTATGAATTAATAATTGGAAAATAATGCAATAATATAAAGTGAAATCTTGAATAATTCCAAAATATTATCCGCCAAATCGCGAGTGAATCCTTATTCCTGTTACTGTGTATGAGCGTGTGAATTGTACGAGCAAATCGCGAAACGACCTTATCAAATGTATATAAAAATCGCGAATTGTGTAAATTTTTGCAGCGATCTTGAGAACAACAATGAGATTTATTCACTTGCACAATACGAGGCAAGCAAGTTTAAAGTTGAGGAAAGCAACGGCGAAAGCGATCAAAGCAACGTTGGCGATAGCCGTAGCAACAACAATTTTGAAAAGGATTCAACCGACAAAACCAATAATAACAACAACAACCCAACTGACAACTATAAAGAGGAATTATTAAAGACCAAAGAGCCTAAGCTTGAAGAAGAACAAGAAAACCAACAACAAGAGAATCAACGGAAAAATCCGTTAACAGTGATCAAAAATAGCATAATCGAATTGCAATCGATCAAACCAGTCAATTCACCACCGGTACCACCACTAAACCCGAACACCGACAACCATCTCCTTATTAAAAGTGAGAACACATCTACAATTATCGTTAATACAAATACTACCTCAACAACTGAGCCAACCACTTCCCCAAGAGATAATCCGACGAAATCGATTGAAGTTAACAAGCCGATTGTAAATGATGATATACTTTCCACTTCCCCGTTGCGTCGAAATGTACAATTGGGTTATATAAACATCAGCGACAATAACGTGAATAATAACAACAATATTACGAATAAAAAAAACTTGCTCATAGCGAAATCAGCCGAAGAGAACCGCCCAAAGTCGGTAACCGCATCGGTATTTCGTCCGGCTGCAATAGCTGATTTGGCCGCCACACTGTCGCAAACAACGCCTCTGCCATCGACCACTAGCACTTCGTCGGTGTTTGTATGTGCTTCAAATGCTCCGTTGCCACATATGAACGCCGCTCCTCGCGCCCAATCGGTGACGGCTTCCGTATTCACGCCTATTTCGCAGTTGTGCAATAGACAACAACAACACATTGTTAAAGCCAATTCTGCTATCACACCAACAACTGTTACAGCAGCAATACTCAGCGGACAACAGCATCCTTACGCACAAGCACAGCCACAGCCACCGCCGTCACAAGATATGAATAAATTCATGTCCTTTGGGGATGATGCTACTGAGTTAACAAGTGAGTAAAAATCATTTTTTATTATTATTATTAAATTTGTTTTAAGTTTCACCCCCACCCACATACACAGTTATCTATGGGAATTTTCGTATTTGCGCTAAATTCGTTGACTAATTCAATTTGGATTATTACTCAGAAAAAGTTCTAGCTTGTATGGTTTTCCATCTACGGAGCAGATAAGTTTGAAAATTCAGTTATTACTTTTTTTCTTTTTCCTGTGGAGGTTTATTTTTTTTCTAAGTTTGATATACTAAAAAAATAGATTCCCGAATATTATGTTTATTGAAAATGTAATTAATCACTTGGTTAATCAATCTATATTTCATTGATTATTTAAAAAATTAAGCAAATATGGTTTTTTTTATCAACAATCTCAAAGTGTATAATGACATCGGTATTGACTAGTTTTAGCGTTCTTATTTTGAAAACACTATTGAAAGCTAAATATCTATATTTATACACAATAAATCATGACTAGGGAAGAGCAATGGTAAGGGACAATGATAATTTTTTCGTTTAAACTTAGTTGGTTCTTCAATACCCAATATATATATAATGTATATATGGTATATATGGCAATGGTTAAACCAAAATGTTATAGATAATTTAATATAATGTTGAGTGATTTTTTATAGATCACTAAAAGTAGAAATAGATCATCCAAATAATTCATCACCCCTTAGCTCTTGATATTTATTTCAGTTCTTGTCACATAATTTTGTTTAAAATTACACTTAAAATTGTTATTGTGCCTAAAGTTAGTACTTTAGGAAATTGAAGTGGACAATACACAATTTTTGACTACTGTGGAGAAGGAAATACAACTAAGATTTTTCACATGACTGCGTTTGCAAAAATGAGTGCATGCATGTATATGTTTATATTATGAACGCTATGTTGGTGTCATTAATGCCGAAGCCAAGCCGGCTTCTCTATATTTTTTTGTTTTAGCGCATGCATGAATAAATATGTATGTATGCATATAAACGAATTTAACCAGCATAAGCCGGAATAAAGAAATACCGCTGCATTTGATGATAACAGTGTGAATTTGAAATGTGTATGTGGCCGGTCATTCATATTTTAACTTACGTAACCTACATAATAAGAGATAATCTGATGGAGCTTCAGTTCGTGTGTGTTCAGTCACACATACATACATACATACATACATACATACATACATACATACATACATACATACATACATACATACATACATACATACATTTATACATACATACATACATACATACATACATACATACATACATACATACATACATAGTTGCAGGTATTTTGATTATTTAGATAAGATTTCGATCGAAAATATATCCACCCACATATACAATACATGCACATACATATGCACGTACATATACACATCTCGTTTGCTTAGTTTTCGACAATGTGTTTATTTATTTATTTCTGTGTTTTTGTGTTTTCCTCTTCGATTTATTTTTATTTCCAAAAACTTAAACAAATCGGGAGGATCAGTATATTAGCTTATTTTGTTATTTTTCAGTTATTTTCGGCTTGCTAAATTTAGTAAGGAAACATGAAATGGCACGTGTAGTTCTTTTCACCTCTTTAGGTTGCCACAGAAAAAATATTCCACTACATTTTGTGGATTCACGAGAATTTATTATTCTTTCGTTTCAATTTCTATCAATTTGTGTTCATAGTTGTTTGATGGAAACATTCGTTCGGAAACATTTATGAATTAATCAATTGATTTATTTTTGTTTGCTGCTAGCGATCGGTTTTCGCTTTCTATTGGCTTACGCTACTTAATTATTTGGACAGACATCCAGACCATCCTCGATCACTGACTACTATATAATGTGCATATGTATGTGGGCAACAATTGTTCGTGGAAAATTTTGAATAGTGACAACGTCAGCAGTTGCCGGGGAGGACAGTCTAAGTAAACAAAGGCGAAAAAGAAATTGAATCAAAATAAAACTCTGAAATGTTTAGTGTTTTCATGTTTTAATTTTAGTTTAATTTTTTATAAAATTATTTACTAGCAACCCTCAACCCTCAGTCATCACATACTTATGCATGTACATACATACATATATATATATATATATATATATATATATATATAAGCAAGCATTTTTTATGTCTCGTTAAAATGATATACTTATATTTTATTTCGAAAGATTCTGTGGAATCTTTAGGTCACATGATTTTTAATTATAAATTTATAGAAATGATTTGCTTATTTCTTGGCAAGTGGCGAGACGCACAAGCAAATAGTAAATATTCGCAACATCTGGAAAGGAGTTGCCACTTTGTAGAGAGTACCAATTAACTTATTTGACGAATGTCAAGATTGCATGCATGATGAAAGCAGATTTTCTCTGCTGTGAGCTCCAACCGGAAACATACTTCGTGGTCTGATCCACTGCTTGCTTGTTAACAAATAAGTTATTTGTTGTTGTATGAAATGTTCACTATTCTTAATTTTTCTTTTAACGAACGCAAATATCACTTCCACTTGATTGACTATTCTCACTTATTTTGTTTTAATTAACGCGCAATGGCAAGCCGAGTTCTAAATATATTGTGTTTGAGTTTATGTTTTAGTTAAGAAAGTATCTTATTTGGCAGCAGAAATAGTAAAACTTGCCAAAAATCTATTAAACCAAAGTTTAATTTACTGCAAGCTTGTCCTTAATTCAACTTGATAACTTGTTTATTCACGTAAAACTTTTTTTTTGATAAGAAAGAGAAGAGCTTAAACATAGGGAGCCGAGAAGTGGGAAGAGAATGACGGCTTTTGTATAATACATCCATGAGCTTAAGTTGCAATTGCTAAATAACATAAACGTTTTGGTATATAAATATTTACTTGGTCCAATTAAACATATTTGCATGCTTAGAATATTGTGCACATGTTATGTATGTAGTATGTGCAGGGGTTGGAAGTTTGATTTTTAATTGCAATCTATGGAAAAATTCTTATTAAATTAACTAAAGCATTGGATATTGCCGCGGCCGCGGTGTCGGTGTCATACCGACATCCAATTATAACTATGTCGCCCCTCGGCAAAAAGTGTCAACCCCTCCAAGGGTATTTCTGGCATGAAATAGAGCTCCTCATAAAAAACCATCAGCCGTTCGGAGGTGGCTTAGTATAAACTGTAGGTTCCCCCATTTTTTGGAAAAACATCAAGATGCAAAACCAGGAGCTCGGTCAAAAATCGCTTCAGCGATTACAAAGTGGCAATAATATACAATAAATGGTGATTTTTAAGAGCTATAGTAAAGTTTTTCAACAAACATAAAAAAAACACATGAAATTCAGAAAAATGCAAGAAATCTTTATTTAAATCGATAGTTCATCCGCTTAGTCCAATTTTGGCATACTCTTTCCAACATTTCGGCCGGTATCTAACGAATAAATGTTTCAATGCTGTCCTCCAATACGTCAATTGCAGCGGGCTTGTCTGCATAGATTTAACACAGCCCCACAAAAAATAGTCTAAAGGTGTTAAATCGCGCGATCTAGGCGGCCAATTGACCAGTCCCGAACGTGAAATAAAATGTTCACCGAATTTGGCTCTCAATAAATCAATTGTTACGCGTGCTGTGTGGTATGTGGCACCGTCTTGTTAAAACCACTTGTTATGCAAGTTAAGCTCTCGCATTTTGGGCAAAAAAAGTTTGATATCATCTCACGGTAGCGCTTACCATTCACAGTTACGTTACGATTCGCATCATCTTTGAAGAAGTACGTTCCAATGATGCCACCAGCCCATAAACCGCACCGAACTGTGACTTTTTCTGGATACTTTGGTAGCTCTTACAATGCTCCTCGTTGATCTTTACTACCAAATCGACAAATCGATTTACGCACCCATTAGGCCATAAGTGAGCCTCGTCGCTTCGTTGGGAGAAGCGCGCTTTGAACTTTCTTAGCAGAGCACGGCTTTTGATAATAAAATTCAATTATTGTTCGCTTGTAAAACTGAAGATTTTTGACAGTGATACAAAACACGAAACGTGCCAGTGTTGCCAAAAAGATAATAGCTAAAAAATCACCCTTTATAAAGTATATGCCGTAGTTTACGTTAATGCCATTACATTCGTATTCATTTAATTCAATGACGTTTGCAAACCTCTGCTAATACGTGTTTTGTATATATACATACATTTGAGTGCAGTTTTTTCCGCAAACGTAAGTAACTTACGCCATTTACGTCAACTGAATTGAAAAACATCTGTCAATAGTCAACATAAACATCACGCTTATCACAATAATGTTAGGCAATCAGTTCGAGTGTTATTGACCGAAAACATTTATAGAAATATTATATACATTTACATAAATGAATGTATATACAAACGTACATGGATGTGTGGTCGTATATATTGAAATCGGTTTAATAAAATTACACAACTTTGTTCTTTATAACTTTCCTCATTCAATTTGTAGGTACGGGTATGCATTCATCCCAGAGATGCTCAACGAAATGATTTTGTTTAGTTACGGCGGCATGTCGGAACAAAATGAATCGTTAACGTTAATTTTAAAAAGGCTGCTTGTGCTATGAAATTAACAGCATACTTCAATTTTAACTTTAGCATTATCGTTAACGATTTGACATTAACGGCGAAATAATTTCGGTAACTGATTTAACGATAAAAATTCCAAATGTTTTTTACCGAATCGACTGAAATTTTCTGATTAACGTAAAATTCATCTCTACAATGGAGCCTTGATACATGCATATGTATGTACATATTATATTTAAATGTGTTCATGTGCGCACCGCTTAAACGTTGAATGCCACAGAAACCAATTTAAATGAATTTTGTGCCTTCCTACATTTACCCAAAAATAAATTCAAGCTGTCCGTTTGAACTTTTCCCTTTTTGGCCAAATTGAGGAAATTTATTTCCTGTATTATTTTTAGGTGAATTGTCGTTGACTCTGTAAATAATGTTTCATTATGCCCTCTTCATTATATTTATATCACTCTGTTTCAAATTTTGGTGTATTCTTTTCTTAAATTCCTGATAAAAAGAATATATATATATATAGTAGAATTTGGTATATATTGCACCTTCGGAAAGTCTCCAGAATCAGCAAAAGTTTAGAGTTATATAAAACTAACGTAATCAACAAACATAGCTACTGTGGTTTTCTCAAGAGTTCCAATAATTTTATTTTTATTCAATTACCAACTAAAATTGCTTAAATTGATTTCGTGATAAATTTTTTTATTTGGCGCTGCGAAATAGTAATTTCATATATTCTTATGTATGGCAAAATAAATGCTTCAATAAAAATCTAATAAATCATCTAATTCTTATAAACTTTAATTATAACCAATTGAAGTCTGTCAACTATAGTGTGGTGTCATAAATAGAATGAGCGATGAGATCGGTGATGGATTTGAATGGAGTCGTTTCGAAAGCATTTCTATTGCAAACTTCATGTTTGTACTCTTCTATGTATATAAGGGTAATTTTTTAAAAGCTATAGGAAAGTTTTTCAACAAAAAAAAAAAAAACACAAAATTCAGAAAAAATCATGAAACCTTTATTTAAATCGACAGTGCGGTCCATATAATTTAATGTTTGAAGATTTTTTCATGCGAATGTTAGCCTTGACTACGCCTCAAATAGTTCATCCGCTTAGTCCAATTTTGGCATAACGAATAAATGTTTCAATGCTGTCCTCCAATACGTCAATTGCAGCAGGCTTGTCTGCATAAACATTAGATTTAACACAGCCCCACAAAAAATAGTCTAAAGGTTTTATATCGCGCGATCTAGGCGGCCAATTGAGTGGTCCCGAACGTGAAATAAAATGTTCACCGAACTCTCCTCTCAATAAATCTATTGTTACGCGTGCTGTGTGGCATGTGGCACCGTCTTGTTGAAACCTAGTGTCGTGCAAATCAAGCTCTTGCATTTTGGGCAAAAAAAGTTTGATATCATCTCACGGTAGCGCTTACCATTCACAGTTACGTTACGATTCGCATTAGCTTTGAAGAAGTAGCCATTAAGCTTAATAAGCTTCGTCGCTTCGTCGTAGCTAAAATATCACCCTTTGCAAACTAACAGTTTTTCGGGCAAAAATGTTTCAATAGAACAACAAACATCCGTACCTATCACACATCCATAAAAATAATAATAAATATTTTATTTATCGCTCTTACTTAATTTTGATTTTCAAATATTTTTCTTTTTATCTATTGCAGTGCTCAAAGAGGAACCCGATGACTTGCCTAGCTTGGCCCCAGCCGCTGTTGATGCTTGTATGCGTCTGAATGGTACTGCGCCATTTTGCGATGAGATGCTATTGGGATTGTGCTCATATTCTTATGGTGGATTTTTGCCCGATGATTACAGTTCACTCGATTCAAATACGAACTGTTCGTCGCCAGATACACCAAACAATAACAGCAACAGTAGCACAGTTTTCAACAAAAACCATAGCAATGAGAACAGTACCAACATTGATAATAACAAAATTGATTTAAGCAGTTCAAAGCATCAAGATAGTTGTAGCAACAACACTAATGCTATCTCATTGCACAATAACAACAGCAATCACATGTGCAGTAAACCCGTTGTACGCGTCGATCCATTTATTAATTACAGAGAGGAATCAAATGACACTAGCTGCTCACAGCATTTACTTTCGTCCAGTGTGGCATCGAAGGTAAGTGAAGTAGTAGAGATCTGTTGATAATCTTAAATGAGAGAAAGAAGAAACGTAGGCCAGCGACCAGGTGCCAGGTTAGAAAAAATCGTAATTATGGCTCGGTATTTTGCTTTGACTGACATGAACTCAATTTTTTGTCCGATCTACTCGAAAAAAATTCTTTTCAAGGGTCTGTTTACTTGAAGTACCGATCAAGTTCAAGTGAAAATATTTATGATTTGGTTTGTTTGAATTTTTGTACGGGGACGACTGCCCACGGCACTAACCTCCTTGAAGGCTTCCAACTAACAGTAATATTACACCACTTTGTCCCCGTTAACAGATCAGAGTCTAGGTTCGATTTGCTTGAAATTTAGTACGTTGAAAGCTTTTTGTCCAGATTAAGATACAAAATTGACGGTCGAAGTGAAGTAGCCGAGTACGATCCGGAAGGATCCGGAATGTCAAAGCAACATCACAAATTTGTAAAAAATTAATTATTCAATTGCGACTACTCGTCGGAAATACAATATGAAATAAAAAGGTCTTCATAATATTCCATAATCAGTTCGGAGGTGGCTTAGACAATTGGAGGAAGTACTCTGCCGAAAATCTCTCAGCGACTTTAAAGCGCCAATTATGTATATAATTGTATATATAATAAACAATACTCTCATTTCGGGAAAGGGATCATTGATATGCCTGGCCTGCTAGTATAAAGATACTAAGATACTATTAATGAATATTTGAAACCGAAACTCTAGTTGGATGTGTGAATGAATTTAATGAAAACATTATGAGAATACTAGAAATATTTATGCAACAACCCATATTAACAAAATTTTTTTCTTTTTACTTATTTTAGAGTCCTGAAGCGAGCAGTTTGCCTTCGTTATGCAGTCCCAACTCTCTTAGTCAGGATGATGGATTTGCATTTATGACAATGAGCGTTGACGAAGATATCGATATGAGTATGCGTGCGCCGTATATTCCAATGAACGAACAAGAGGACTTGCCTCTTCTCACTGCAGATGATCTGATGTGGTGCGCTAGCAATGGGCTTTGTAGTGAAGAATTGAGCAATCAAAAAGATGTCGACGCCACATTGCAACAATTGCAGTTGCAGCAGCAACATTCTGGCGAGAGCAATCACAATCTTTTGACCGGCTATCAAGATGCTCAACACATCAGTCAATCAAATTTTAATTCACTGTGCTCTTCACCTGCATCAACAGCTTCATCGATTTCACCGTCTCCGGTGAATCATCACCAACAACAGCAACAACAGCAGCAGCAACAACAACAACAACAACAGGACACGAATTCTGTTTATAGCACAGATACCAGTGAATTGGCAGCGTTGCTTTGTGGTTCGGGCAATGGTCAGTTGTCAATTCTGAATAATAATTGTGGTAGAAGTGGTGGTAGAACTGGTTCTGAGAATGCCGATGCTGGACTAGAACAGCAGCAGCAAACACATTGCGACGATTATCGTTTTCGGCAGTTGCAGCAAGAGTTGGCCTCCGATGAACAAGAACAGCAACGGCGCTTGCTGCTCGGCTTAAGTATCGATTGCAAAAAAGAGAACGCACTGTCATCGCATATTTGTGATTCTCTAGATGATACATTCGATAATGTTTACAGTAAGGATTGTAAGTATTGGTGCAGTATGAAGATACCAATTTCTGTGGTCTTGCTCATAACTTATGTGGAAAAGCGCAATTTCATAGGTCAAAAAGATGGAAATTCGTTGAGGTATATTCGATATCTTTTGTTATTCCGATATTAAAACCATGTAAGCAAAGACGCTTACCATAAAGCATAACTTATCAAAAATGACAAAAATCGTTTATATGTAATACATACATGCATATGTGAATGTACATATGTATGTACATTTATGCGCGCAGAACTCATATGATCTTTGAGCCAAAATATTGTTGTTATTGTTTGTTTATTACATTATCGCGCGATTAATATTTCGCTAACGTCAATGTTTATTTAGGTTTTGGTATTTAGCTCATTACATACATTGTGTGATATTGTTTTCCGTAAAAATATAGTTTGTTTCGTTTCCTCAAAATCGGGATTATTGCACGGCTTTGGAATTATCATATTATGAATAAATTCGCACATCGCTAAATAACTGACTTTATTGCATATTTTAAACTTATGCAACAGCTTTATATTGCGCACTTATATGGATGTACGAGTACGTACTCGCTTATATTGTAGATACTTGTATACATAGGTATGTGCATTTATTTTAATCCTCATATATGTATGTCAATATTTGTAGAATGCTTTTGTTTGTTGTGTTTTTGCGAAAACAGCGAGAAATACGAATAAGACAATATGCACATTCATTTCGTTAACTAGTTTCTCAGAAAATTGTTTTCTCTTATATTGGTGAGTGTGAATTTTGAATTTATCATTCTCTAAAAGATCTGCCAATATAAATGTTTGCAACATGATGAGCATCGGACACCAAGAAAGCTTCGTTACATTTAGCTCAGAAGTTAAAGCCACTTAAGTTTATTTTGAATTTTTTTATTTACAAAACTTGTAATATTTGATTATACAACTTAAAAATTGATGTCGAAGTTATTCGGATAATTTTAACGGTCTTACGCGCACGAGTGAAAAATGCATTCCATCGTTGCGGCAGACAGTTATTTTTCTTTGGACAATACTATTTATTTTTAACTAATATATACTACGTGATAGCAAAATTACGGCCTAAGACACACATTTATTGCGTATATATGTTTATAGGTGTTTCTCTCAATTGCTTGATTTTTATATTGTACATCTACACTTACATACATACATATACATATTTTTTGAGGAATACGTTTTGTCCATCGCCGCTTGTATTGGCTGCCTTTTGTAGCTTTGACGTTTCGCTGGTATATTTGATATACATTTATTCTGGGAAGATTTGTAGAAAAATTTTAATTGATAGATTTAAAGTAGAGAAAAACGAAGGACAACCAATACGAACATTTTTTCTTTGAAAATGTGTTGAAAAATAGTCCAGCAGGCTCAAAGTTTTTTTTTTATTTTTGTTTATAAGCCAAATAAGAACTTTAGATAGGTGTCATATTTGCTGCATTTAATGTTCGATCTTCCGGCATTGTTAAATTGAAACCGAATTGAACATATACATATATATTTTTATATATATTTATAGAATGTTTAGGCACACCATGAAAAGTTATGTCGTTATACTTTCTTTGTCACAGAGCAAAGAGTCTATTTTTTTAAGCCTTTGTAGACCACCCTAACGCCGAATTGTTTCAATTTAAAAACATACCTACGTGTTTGTTTGTACATAGAAATATATGCTACACATATTTATGTATGTGTTTATTCAATTGCTAAAAGAGTATATAAAACGTGCAACGCATACATCCCCCCATACTTTTATTATCATTTAATGCTGACGTACGTATGGGTATTCATACGTGCATGTATGTACGCGCTAATTGATGCTGGATGAAGACTGAATAGTGGAGAATGAAAAGTAAAGTATTTTTTATACATAATAAACATACATAATTGTATTTACTTGTTTATGAAATGATACTTAGACCGTTAATTGACAAAGGTCGCATTTTATTAAGATGTTTCTTGCACCAACGTTTCTAATAGTTGCTGAATGACTCCGAAATTACTTGCCTCATGCGCGTGTACAGTTTTCAGTTTCGTTCTATTAGTTGTAGAGGTTTGGACTTTCATCCAAAGTTATAGATGGTCTGATTCCTATAAATTATTAGTTAAGTGTAAAAAGTTAGATGTCTATCAAGTTCATCGAACTTACAAAAATGCATAACTTTTCCTGAATACAAATATTGAAAATATATATATGTAGAAGCATATACAACACAGCCGTTTCGAACAGCTGATGGATTTTTATGAGGGGCTTTTTATTCCAAGTCAGAGGTACCCGCGGAGGTACTCACATTCCCTGCCGAGAGGCGCGGAACATCTAAAAAAAATACTTTGATATTAATTTTCTATAACTTTGGATGTTAGCCTAGCCAAAATTCGAGCATATGACCCTCCACATCGTAGAACGCATTACTAAGAGCTCGGCTAATGCGGCTTCCCAAGTATACATACATATATAAATCACATTTTACTAACACATGCATACACACACTATAATATCTCATCATGAGTAAAAAGTGAAAACAAATAAATTAATTCTTTTCACTGCTGCCGCTCAAATTCATTTCAAATATACATATATACATATGTCTATGTATGTAAAATATAAATGCGCTTTATCGTAAATACAAACATAAGTAGGTATATACGTGTACACTTTCTTGTATAATACATAGCTGGCAATGTCAGGGTCGATACGTTCTTATTTTGTTATGACGCCAAGTAAAAGCGTGTTATATTAAATATATTTTCGGGACAATTTAGTTTAGTAAACTTTTAGTCTTACTTTTTGGCCTTAAGAACCTGGTATAGACTGTGGACTTTATTTAAATCATATTTGTAAGATAGTTAAAACGATTTCTTTGAGAGAATAAAAAATAGTATTATTCAGCTGTTGTAATCCCGTCATGGTCCGAAAATCTTCTCATCGCACTCCTTTTGTTATCAAAAAGCAATTAAATAAAATTACTATAAACGTGTGATGTTCTTGGTTGTAATTTTATCATATTAGATATTGCTAAAAATATTGAATATATTTTACTTCTGAACAAAGAAACTCAGCGAATTTCTAAAATTAATGACACATGCGTGTATGAGGCAGGACTAAATTTTTTTTGTAATTCCAGCTCTTAACACTATTAATTTGTTCTATTTTCTTATGTATGTAGCTGCGAATCTTGACTGCTGGAATGAGTTGTTGCAAATCAATGTTAACGACTCCTCATCCTCCGCTGCTGGCTCTCCTGTTGGGTCATTAAGTTCGCCAACCCAGCACCATTCGCCTCAAAAGTCAGATGATAGGAAGTCACATTTGCGATTGGAACAGAATTTGTCACCTCATCAACAGCAGCACAATATAATTTTGAATGCAGTACCATTGATAACTATACAAGATACTAAGAATATTTTGTTGCAACAACAATACGACAATAGCAATAAACTCTTAATAAATGATGGAATTTCACCAACGAATCGTGGTGGTAATAAAATCACAGCAATCAAAATGTCGAATGACCAAACTGCCACAAACATAACAAAAGCAGCAGCGACAATTTCAACACCGTTTCCAGCTAGTGTTGGTGCCACATTGCGAAGAATCGATTTCAAGCAGCAGCAACAACATCAACAGCAATATCAAGTTCGTCTTTCAAACGTTAGTAAGAGTATGCTGATGCACCAAGAAATCCAACAGCAACAACAACATCAAGTCCAACAATCACACAAACGGCATTTGGAAAGCTCTTTAGCCAACCCTCAGCAAGAGATGAAACGCATGAAGAGCACATGCACTGGAAAAGACGGAATGGAGCTGCATGCTATTCCACAGTTGCTGCAACAGTTAGTGGCACCCGTGAATTCACAACAAATGAAAGAACAGCAAGAAAAACAGCAGCAACAACAACAATCACGCAAATTGAATGCTGGACATAATGACAGTGGCCACGGTGCTTGGCCAATGGGTGGCGACGCCAAAACTGCCATTATCATGCAGCAACAACAAAAACAATCGAATTCAGTGCTAAAAAATTTGCTAATAAGCGGTTGCGATGTAAGTGCAGGCTATTGTATCGTGCCGATGCGCCCTAAAAAGTTAGCAAAGGCATAAAAAGGAGGACTGGAGAGGCACGGAGCATTCTTCAGTTCTCCTACGCACTTGAAGAATTGTATTTTAAAAATACATTTACCAAATAACTAACAACAAACTACTCAATTATTTTATGTATGTATGTCTATACATATGTATGGAAGTATATGTATTATATGCATAGAAACACAAAGCAATTCAAATAAAATTTTTGAAAATTTTTTGTTTAAAGTTTGTGTTTGGAATTTTTTCAAAACACAAACGCGATAAGTAATCAAATTTTATACTTGAAAAGTTTCAGATTGGTTTTTTTTAGTTTTAAATGGATTGTAAATGGATCGATTTTATAAATAATAAGTATGAATGTACACCTATATTGTTTTGTTAATATATCAGTTTTGCATTATAAGTTATTCTAAAGGAAAATATAGATACAATTAGGAAGGAAAAAGTACTGTTATGTAGTATCAAAATAAATAAATTAATATTAAATTTAAAGTTGAGATTTAAGTTAACATTTATGAATAAATAATTTTATCTTAACATTAGATCTAGTCAAGTAGCTCTAAACTGCGGGCGAAGCGTGGAAAGAAAACTAGACTAGACATACATTCTTATGTTTGTATGTAAATCATCATATGTGCATATATTTTTTTGCAAATATACACATAAAAATCGCAAAATGCAATCAAATCTCCACTGTTGTTATTTAAAATAATTTTAATTCGACTTTAAGTTGAACACAAAAAGAGAATTGTTTAGAATAAAATGAAAGTTGTTAAATTTGTTACACGAACTCTGTAAATAGTAATGAAGTAACCAAAACCAAAATTGCAAACTAAAAATATAGAGTTAAATTAGTTATCTAGTTAAAAAGGAGAACCAATGAAGTATGTAGTGACGTGTGTATGTATCTTTATACATAAACATATAAATATTAATTGGAATTTCCACCATCACACCAATGAGGTAAACTAAGTTAGAACGATAAGAATTTAGTTGAATAAATAAGCTGGACTAGGAATTTTGCAGGCAGTCCATTCATTATAATAAGGCTCTCTTATTATTTTGAGATTCTTAGTGTAACATGGCTTAAGCTTTTAAAGAGCAGAATAGTTGTTATAGCACATACATACCAAAAAGTAAGAAGCTATATGACGCACAATAGCCATGGTCAGTGCGCTTCTCGGAGAGTAATAAAAACGTACTTTTAAAGGGGATTATAATGTTTATTATATGTAAATAAGCAAGTTATTGCACAAAATGTAGTGACTTTAATTTTCTACTGTGATAGAATTTTCCTTTTGTTTGTGAAAAACAGAGATACACACATGCATACATACATCGATTATGTTATTTAATATTCATTGCACTACTTGTTGCAACGGCTGTTTGTTGTACAATTTTTAAATTGGTTTACGTATATTTTAGGGTAATAGATAGTGAAAGATAGTTGAGAGCAGCTAATAGGTTGATATTTACATTACTTAAAATAACATTTATAACCTTAGTTGCACATTTTTCATCAAGAACAAAATGTTAAACCCTCTATGTGATATTAATAATTTGGTTTATTATTTATAATTGAACATATTTTCTAAATATTACACCATTATTTGAGCTTGAAATATAAAGAAGAGCATATTCGGTTTCTCAACGTAAGGCAAATTCGTGCAAAGCTTTCTTGCCAAATATTACATCATATAATGCCGACTAGTGCACAAAGTTAGTAAATAAATACTACGTTTATAAAAGCAATATATTATTAGAACATGATGATATTTATATTAATCACATAAAGAGTACATTTAAATTGTAAAACAATTGAAATGCGAATAGCTTGTGTTTAAAAACTAATTTTGAGCGCTGATGGTACAAAAATTATAAAAAAAAGTATAAATTCTCACACACACGAATTAGTTGGTGAGTTTTGCTAAATAGAATTATAGAACAGCTAAAATAGAAGTGCATGAAAAAATACGAAGACTTTATATGAATGGGGAAAGAAATGTATCATTACCAATATACTCATCAGATTCGAAGCAAATGCCGAAATATGGATTTTAGTAGAAAAAGAATTATAATAGGTAAGATAAATTACAATGCATAAAAAACGCATTAATGGTACTTCTATTACCATTAAATTAAATTCGATATATTGAATTTCAAGTAACACATGGGATGCGATGAAAACTATAAAGACGAAATATCACAAGAAGCTTTCGTATAACTCTTTACATATATATTATATATATATTATATATTTATATTTATCGTAGAAAGTACTCTTCGAAAGTGACTTTAGTTGCAGGGTAGTCAAAAAGTAACATCACATACTCACACCTATTTTATTATTTAGTGATATAAATATGTAAATTTATATTTTAAATTGCATAATATGAATTATATATCTTTGTTAATTAAATTTATTTTTAATTTTCGTTTAATACATTGTTTTAAGTAAATACACTTTCAAATTATTTGAAAATCATTTGAATTTAGAAATTCACTATATTTCTTTTCTTTTATTTAGTTTCTAAGAAATTCTTTTAAACATGTTCCATGTGTAGTACTCCATTTAGTCATAAGCTAAAGATGACTATCGATCTGTGAGTAGACGACATATTAAATGATTATGTTTAAGTAAAAGAATAAATGACTTTTTTCTAAGACACGATTGTAATTGTTAATTATATTTCGTTTCATTTTTTGAAATTTTTTATCACCTTTATAATTCTTGATTCCTTTTCAAAATAATAACAAAAAAGAGGTGAATGCCCGAAAGCACACATACATATTCATATAGTATTTTCTGAAGCTGGTGATGCAGATTTATTCAGTTAGAGGAATATTTTGCGTCCAACCTGCCTTAAACCACTAAAAGTCAAAATGTGAAGGCACGTAACTCATTCCTTTCATGTTTCAGCCGTATTCCAATTTTTTTACCGTTGTCTGTACCGAATTTTGTGTTCAAAGCATAATCAAGCAGACAAACGAGGAAATAAAAAGTGTTGTGCACAAATGTTAAGAAGAACAATGTAAATACATCCAGGGCAGAAAACGTGGCGTTTGGTAGTTTGGTTTACATGAGAACAACCTCATGACAATATTTGCCTGGATAAATGCGTCTTTGCCGGTCTTTCTTGTCATACCACTAGACAGTTTCTAAACTAAGTGATTATATACAAATGATACCACACATATATCTATATATATTATAATTGGCGCTTTATAACCGGTGCAGCGACTTTTTTGCCGGGCTCCTCATCCATATTGTATTTCATATTGTTTTCCAACAAATGGAGGGATACCCAGTTTATTCTGAGCCGCACCTGAACGGCTGATGTATTATCATTACGGCATTTTTATATCATGTCAAAAATACAGTCGGAGTGGTAAAATTAATTTCTATAATTTTGGATTTTGGTCGTTCTAGGATCTGAGCCCATGATCTTCAGCATGGTAGTATGCACTATTTATCACTCGGCTATTGCCATAAATGAAAGTGGCGTACTCGTAAGTCCACTCTCACAGGTTCAGTTGGGCACATGGATCCTTCTTGAATGTGTCTCATGAAATAAAATATAATATACCATTATTACATATATTATAATTTTATAAATAAATAAATTCGATTAAAAAATGAAATTGAATTAAATAATAATAAATTAAATAATTAATCAATTTCTACAAAAAATATATTGGGTCGACAAAACATGATAAAAAAATGCATATGCGGATACGTACCTATTATATTAAACGTGTGTGATTTCTGTTAGATTCTGTTAAACAATAACATAATTAGGCAATTCACAAGTTTTGTCTTATGCCTTATGTCATATTGCAATAGTCTTAAAATATACGACACTTGTGAGTAATCCTAAATCGTTGTATGTCATGTTTTGTAATATTTCTATGTTCGATAGAGAAAAATTAAGAATACAAAAATACCAGGAGAAAGTGAGAAAAATGAAATCATACACGATTTTGTAACCAGGAACAGCAATATATTTTTCCGAAGGCTTTTGATGTGCTGAATCCGAATCTGGTTTCAAAACAGTTCCAGAAAGTCAGAGTTGGCAAACTCAGTAAATTAAATAGACAGGTTTTCCTAGAAGTAGCTTGATCTCAAAGGCAATAAAAAAAACGTGTTTTTCGCACATTTAGGTTTGAATATCTCAAAAACTTGACGTGCTGGAACTGTTTTGTTTCAGATTCGGATTAAGCACGTCAAAACCTTTCGAAAAAGTATAGCCCTGTTTCTGGTTACAATCGTGTCGGCCTGTGTATTTGTTCTCATCCGAGAAGAGATCATACATAAATCTGCTTTTGCAAATTGACTCTGTTTTTTAACATCGTTTGATTGCTTTTTTGGAGAGTTTCTTCAAAATTTTCGAACAACTGGCGGGACCTAGAGTTTAAAGCCGCCTTCAAACGGTCAAAACTTCTATTGGAACAAGTCAGCCGTGGGGAGGATTTTTAACATTTCATGTATATAACAATTGTTTTGCATAGCTTTTTTTTGGTGATTTTAACCTAAAACCTCATATCTGAAAAATCGGTTGTAATTTACTCGTACAAAATATCAATTTTCACGTTCTTAGACGTTTTTTGTCTGATTTAAGACTTGAAATCTCAAGTCGGAGATTCCGTCATGTATATATTATAGTGGTCCAATTTGGTCAGATGGACAGATGGGCAATACAGCATAAAAATACATCTCTACTCTATGTATAACTATGTATACATAACTTATATTCCCCTAGATTGCGGTTTTATTGCATTTTATTCCAACTGTCTAGGGATTTATATATACTTTTCTTTGGTTTCTCTTTTACCATTGACCAAGTGCACACGTGCAAACGGATAAAAATTCACATAAACACTTTAATTTTAATTTATGAACTTGAAAAATTCACATAAACACTTTAATTTTAATTTATGAACTTGAATGGTTATGAAAT